CACCCACACCCACACCCACACCCACGCCCACACCCACACCCACACCCACACCCAAAATTCAATATTTTACATTAATTTGATTTCGTTAATATCGTATGGTATTAACTGTTTAGTTACTATCTCTCGGTTTTCTTTAATAAGAATGAAATGTTACTTCATCTAAAAAAGTCGAGATAACAAAAATCATCGACATTTAACTTTTATCCTTCTTATCTTTAGTAAAAAATAAAAATTTTCTCAACTCATATGATTACTAAGAATATTTTGTATATTTTTTATTTTGATTTTCTCCTACCCTTTGTTTTCTTTTTTGGTCGAGCACAATCCTCCATATTATTCTGATGATAAACAAAACTAAGACAGACGATATTCTATATGAGTTTTATTTCATTAACGTTACAGTGTTAATTGCTTATTGACTATCGCATACTGTTCTATATTAAGAATGAAATGTAATTATCATCTGTAAAGATACTGCTAAGATAAAAGAATCTATATTTAATCTTTATTATTATCTTTAATCAAGAAAAAAATATTCTCAATCCATAAATAAAATTATATCATTGTTTATTCTCTTCTTCTACAAATTTGTTAGGGATAATATTTGAAATAAAAATTCACACTAAAAAGGCTTGTGATATCAATATGTTAAACAAAAGTTATCTCTAGTTCCTATATCAAATTTATGAATATATTTGTGTTATTTTCGTATTTATACTAAAGTCAGCTAAACGAATTCTGTATTATTATTAGAAGATTTATCTCGAAAAGCATTTAATAGAGAAGTAGATGAATGTATTCAATCTATAAACAGGAAGTTTCGAGAAAATGCTGGTAAAACACAAATCATGTATGATAAAATCATTAACTTTCTTACGAATAAATGTTTATATGATTGTCATACGCGTTCTAGGTCTTGGTGTTGAAGATCATTTATCACACGAAAGATTGTACCAAAATTTTTACTGTGCGATATTAAAACAAAAAAAACCAACATTAGTATACAAATCTATGTACGATGTTCATAAACGAACACATATTGATACAGCTCATGCATAAAGGTACAAATGCTTAGATTACTTATCCATGAACTATAGTCTATATAGTTGTCAGCTTCTGCAAATATTTATTAAAAATTGTTCTTCATGTCAAATAAGAAAACATTTAGTAAAACCTATATTATCAAAACCAATAATTGCATTAGGTAGACTAAATTACCAGAGCTTCGAAGTTTTAATGTGGTTGCAATTAATCATTTGGCTCGTCTGACCTCTAATTTAACCTTGTTTGAGTGCTGCTTTTGTCATGATCTCACTCTAGAACATTTTGGCTCACTGAACATCGTGCGCTTCATCATCTGTGCATTGGACTTATTTGTGGTACGACTATGTTCCAATGATTGATCTCACTTAATTTTTTATTCTAGCAGCAGCGCCCAACGCCGAGCATTTCATTCTTATCTTGAACGGTCAATACGAATACTTTAAGATACTTGATTTTGAACAAATAATCAATATTGTTTACACTAGATTACCTCGTCTTCCAATAGTTAAATTCGATTTGAAAAATCTTTTCAAGTTCACTTCGATATTCTCTCAGCTAAGCCTGATATATTCGTCCAATATTCGAGATGCCTAATCTCAATAAAAAGTGAAGAAGCCTCTCTCTCTCGCTGTTAATGAAAAAAAAAGATTCGTATGTTCTGTCTATGAATATTGTTAACCTATCGTTAGTGTGTAATTGCCGTTTTTATATCTTTGATTAAAGAAAGAGCTTATAGTGCACACTTTGCCCGAAACGATAAGCTCCACATGCAATTCTAAATCAGCATTACAGAGTTCACTGGAACCGTTTAGTCGTAAAACATTATGACTAATAATGAGAATCAATTGAAATGAAAGTGGTCATTGCTCATTTTCAGTGACCTGATGTAGCATGCTATTATAAGCCACTCTGACTACACATGTAATCGATTGTGCATAAATAATGTACAAACAATACATTGTTTTCCATTATGTTCCGAATATTACTGCTGTACTGAATTTGAATCCATTGTTTCACAATATATTTTTTTCTTTTGATATATTCTAACGCATTCTTCATTCGACTGCCTGTAAAAACTGAGCTCATATCTAACGATCCTGTAATGATAGCCTTGGTTCTATGCTGAACTACTGTGCACTTGCAAGAAGAAATCTGAGCTTAAAGGATGCCATAGATGAGTATTTATTCCGACAAATGAGAGTTGGCACTCACGTTTCTAAGTTCTAATCCTTGAAAACTATCAACAGTAATTGTTCAATTTCTAAATATCTAAGAAACAAAAGATTTTTTTCTAATGGTTTACATCAATCCTATATTTTGTCTATAGGAAGGCTTACAAAATACTAAACTAACCCATAAAATGTGTTCTTCATGCGTTTGTTGTCTATTTTCTCCTTTAACGACAGACACTGGTGATATAAAATCTTTAGTATAATTGAATTGAACCTATAGAAGCTCAAACATGGTGAATGTCTAGCAACAGGAACAAGTGTTAAATTACAAAATGATAAGATGATGCATCACTTTCTAATTGGTCTCACATCAATTTTTTGACGCATGCCAATGCTCACTATTTTGTGTCTTCGAAAATATAAATTTGGGATCTTAGATGCGAAGTATTGGGATGCTCGAAAATAGCAAAACCAACATTTTTTGATCCCTTGGGACTCTATGTCGGCAACACTTGATCCTTTTCTTACATCAAAAGCTTTCTAAAGCAAAAAGTCGTTGACTGTCTCTCTGTTTAGATTATGCTAAAAGTCAATCAGACTTTATACGTCATTTGGCAGCGTCTTAGACAACAAAGAATGACCTTCCAATGAGTGCTGAATCGATACAAAATTTTTGTCAACTAAAACCACGGTTTGTCGTAGAGTACGTTTTTTGTGAAACTTTATGAGAGTAGTTATTTCGTTAGAGTCGTTGTGTTTTGGGATAACTCATCATAAAATTCGATCGGTAAATTGCTTAAGATATATTTCAGTTACTAAAGGTAAGATGTAAGTGTGAATATGGATGAAGAAAGTGTCCACACTCCCACCGATATCCAAGACTGTACTCCTTTACTTTCTTGATCATTTTTGTGTCGATTTAATTGTCATTTATTAACAAAGCGTCCTAATTTCATTGGCTCTCGCCTAACCGATCGTTCTAGTCAGTACTCCACTACATTATTATCGACAGAAGTTAAAGGAGAATATTGTTGAACAACATATAAATGCTTCACTAGCACCAAAAGACACATGTAGGATCGATGGTGTGAAATGCCCGTGCTCACAAATTAACTTGCGAGTGAATCAAATGTTAGCTAATGTCGTCCTCATATCTTTTAAGGACACATGAAATGTGTTACGACATTATACTCATGAGAAAAAATAAACTGTTCTTCTCTTTCTTATCATCTCCGTATATAAGTCATCTGACGATAGCTATCGACAAACTTACCACGTAATGTTGACGACTGCCATCTTAGTGCTTTTGTTCTCACAACTATCAACCATTCAAACTGAACCTCACTATGAAACAATTCCACTTCGGTTTGATTTGGCTATCGATCGAATTCGTCAATATCAATATATCTCACCAGACGATATGCTCGAGACGCTTTCACTAGATGAATTGCCAGCTCTGCTCGAGTCCAGCAACAAAGTCACACAATGTGATCGAGATTTTAAGCTGCTGCTCGAAGATGCCGTACAACGTAAACTCTGGGCTATCAAAGTAATCGACGCCTGGGGTAAACCGCTACCTTCTGGTCTACTCAAAGGCAATGTCTACTGGACAGGCAACTATGACGAGTGTGTGCAGAATTTGTATCAACCGCAAAATAAATCTTTTCTTCAACAACCAATTGATACTCAGTATTGTGCGTATCCTAGCCTGTTCAGCATTGTTGCATTTCAAGTGATTTTTAGGTACTGTGCTTCCCGAATCATCACCTGCATTCGGAACATCGAAAGTACGTATTACTCTCGGCTTATGTGTTCCATCGTCATGTGATCGATCGGATGTAGTGTCAATCCTTCGAAAAGTGTTGAAAAATAGCAGTGTCACCGAGAATCGTCTTTTATGCTCGAACCAACCACACAGTCTGTCGCAAGGGGCCATCGCTACCTGTGTTGTCCTTTCCTTGCTTGGACTGTTAGTCCTAATTGGTACGATCATTGATATAATACACAATGTTGAATTGAATTCGATGGATAACACAGACGTAAATATCAATGGGTACAACTATATAGCTGATGATACTAGCACGGAGAGAAGATCCGTGACGATGCCTCACGATCCTCGTCTTTCCTTGCAGCCCTTGTTGAGTTCTAAACCGAAGTCAGTGTTCATTGCGGAATTCTCTGCTTTGCGCACCCTGCGTCGAATATTTAATATTGAGACGAAGAAAAACGATGATGGTTCATTACCATTTTTGAATGGCGTTCGAGTCTTATCTCTTTTTTGGGTTATTATTGGTCATTCCATCATTTTTACCGTGATCTTCTCCAGTAATCCACTCGATCTTCTGGCCTGGACTCACAATTTGGGTTTCCAATTGATTATCAATGCTGTTTATAGTGTCGACACTTTCTTTGTCTTAAGTGGTTTTCTGACAACGATTATATTCGTTCGACAAGTGAACAAAGAAGGGAAATTATCCTTTCGTCTCATGTTTCTCTACTACCTTCATCGCTACCTTCGATTGACTCCAGCATTTCTCCTTGTCATTATGATTAGCATCAATTTGACGCCATACTTCGGTCATGGACCCATCTATCCGACGCAACAAGGCTTCGAAACGGCCGGATGTCGAAATGGGACTTGGTGGACATCAATACTCTACATCGGTAATCTTGTTAAGGTGGACGATATGTGTTTACCAATTGCCTGGTACTTACATAACGATATGCAATTTCACTGGATTGCTCCATTGGCCTTAATACCATTTGTTATGCGACGAAAACCCATCGGTTTCATCGTTGCTACTCTTATGATACTCCTTGGCAGCGCATCAATTTTAGCCATTCTTCTTCATTATCCTGATTTGTCATTGAATGCGATCGAAGCCTTCATACCGCAAGTAAGTGTCCTAACTACCTACCAAGCTAAGTCAATGGAATTGTTGTTTTTTTTTCCATTCATAGCCCGGTCCAACATTCTTCAAATATATTTACATTAAACCCTGGTGTCGCATTTCGGCTTATGCTGTCGGCGTTCTCGTCGGCTTTCTCGTCATCAATACAGGACGAACGTGTCGTATGAACACTTACTTAAAATACATCGGCACTATTTTGGCCATTCTGATCGGTCTCATATGCCTATTTATCACCTATCCAGACTATATCCATGTGCCTGGACTCAGTCGTGCGTCACTAGTCGCTTTTCAAACTCTATCACGTACTGGCTGGGCTCTGTCCATCGGTTGGCTAATTTTCTTATGCAGTACGAATCAAGGTGGCCTGGTCAATAAGATTCTTTCATGGCCAATTTGGACCCCATTCGCTCGTCTGAATTATTCTGCCTATCTTATTCATGCCACAATTATCGATATTACTATCGTAAATCAAACGACACCGAGTTACTATCAGCCTCATATTGTCATAAACACGTTTATTTCGAATATCTTTTTCAGCTATGTTGCTGCCATAGTTGTGCATATCTTTTTCGAAACACCTTTCTTTCTCTTCGAGAAGAAGTTTATCAAACGAGCCTAACGAAAATAAACAAATCCGATCGAATCCAAGAATCTGAAGGGAAACATGAAGACCGTGTTCAAATTGAGTCCATTGTCTCGGTTGCGTTGTTTGTCTGTATGAAATAAAGCGAGAATAAGAATATTTTCATTGATTCGTTTCGAATAAACATTAAAGCAAAGAATATTTGTCGCCATCGAACTTAGTCTATCGGAGATCAGTTTTTGTACAGAAGAAAACCAGCGTCACCATCCAACAAACTGATCGACAGCTAATCACAATCGTTGATTCTCAATGCTTGTGTGTCGCGTGGAATTAACTTGTATGGTTCTCTGTCTCTCTCTTTCGTTCTCGGTTGTCTTGAATCTTTTAATCAATGTTGATGTGTGTGTGCGATGTTCGTAGTGCTGACGACAGTAACTTAAATTGTGTCAGGAGACATAAATGCATCGACAATTAGACGCGATGAATAAGTGAGATGGTGAAAAAGCGATCGTACAGAACAAGAAAAAGAAAATGGGGAAAAGATGAATGATGTACGATCGACCGACTATGGAAGAATGAAAAAATATTCATGTACTCAATATGATGAACAAGAGGAGGAAGTACAGCTAGTGCCATGGATCATGAATCCACTTCGACCCACACCCACACCCACAATTCGAAATTTCAGCAGTATTTATTACTTTTTTGTCATAGTGGGATAAAGCTTGTCGAGTAACCCAGGGAAAAGCATTTTTCAAATACAAACAAGAAAATTTTTACCAAAGTTAGAATTTTAGACCTATTTTGCTTTAATATTTGAAAAATACTTCTTATGTAACTCGATCAACAAATTCTATTCAAGTATAGCGAAAAATGAAAAATAAGTACTGCTAAAATTCCGAATTGTCACTGAAAATATTTTTAAATTTGAATATATCTCGGTCTGTACACGTTATGGACAGCTCATATATTAAATTTATTACAGTAGTTTGAGAGACTAATACAAAAGGATTACATCGTTAGCAAAAAAAAGATATTTTTATTGCATACTCTACATGACGTTTAGTTTGCATCATCATTCTCAGTGATGTTTGTGAGAAAACATTTATAAAAAGCGTCATAGTTTTTGTTTTTCTGTAAAGTAATCTAGATGTATGCTTATTCTGTATGGTTAGCTCTAAACAATAATGTTTCTTAAGAAAAACCTTCTCCCACATTTCAATAGCATTTTGATTGAAACAGAAAAAATGTTACCATGAAAATTATTGAAGATTATCGTTCTATACTTCAATGATATTTCTTAAAGATAAAATGACTATTTGATGTTGTTTCTGAGACAACTTCCGATGGCATTCATATAGTATTACTCTTAATGAGTCACTCTTAATAATAATAAGTTGAAATCTCACTCTGGCATGTGGTCTTCTCTACTATTGTCCTTCAACTGTACCGTTACAGTATTTTTTTATTTCTGACGCTGTAATGTTATCGTTAAAGTTAATAATAGTACATCAAAATTAAAAGCAAGCTTTTTTTCTGTAACTTAAGAAATGCTGCTGGTGAAAATAAATTCTATGTAATTTGGTATATTTCCATCAATGATAACTGTAGAAGTCAATTAGTAAATGATTGACTTATTCTATGTATATCGTAAAACAGTTAAATCTGCATCAGAGAGAACGTTTTCAATTGGTCAATCATTTTCTCATCAAAACCTACTAGATATCGATTCTCCAGGCTAAAATTTTCCAAAAATGAGTTTTAAGTAAAATAGTATCATTTAAGACCTTCCTCCAAAATGTAGTCAGCACTCGCCACTATAGCTAAACAGAGTCCAATTTTTCAAAATCTTCTTTATCAATTTTCGGCGTCAGCTTTTTTTAAATGCTCAAAAAAATAGGAAGACACTTGTAGAAAAAGATCCATTTTTCTCAAGAACAAAGTCGAAAATTAAAATTAGACTCTCTTAAATTGTGGAACACAGTTTTCTCTTCAATTAAAAACTCTTCTGTACTTCTTAGCATGTAAACGGCTGAGAATTATGGAACGCAAAAGTAGAAAAAAATCGTTTTGAGAAAAAAGTCAAACAAAGTTCGCAATTGAAAATCAATGTGCTTCATAGGGGAAAGGGGCTTAAAATGATTGTATTTTCTACAAAAAAAAAGATTTGAAACAGAAAACGTTACTGTTTTCAAAGGAATATGATACGTTCTATAATTTGGACAAATAAAAAAAATTTCTAGACGAAAAATTTGCTAGTCTGGAAGACGAGTTTTCTATAAAATATGCATATAAAAATCTGAAGATATTTTTATAGTCATATTAAGAGATTATTGTCAATGTGAGTTTTTATTAGATATGAATATAAATGAAGCATCACGATTGAATAGTAATGTGTATTTTGTTTACTTCAAAGCAATAATTTACTTAAAACTCAACTGAATTTTGCTGTCAATTGTGACATATCTAAGGATAGTACAAAATAAGAAAATGATCAGCTATGATATGAGTATTTAAATAGTTCTAAAAATAACTGATGACATGTTCTTGTGACTAAATTCAAATAAAAAAAAATAGATAAATGATCTTTTTGTTGATAAATAATTCATAGTCAATTAACATTACTGGAGAAAAAGCTGACTTTGTAATAAAAATAACTTTTGAGGGAGAAACATTTACGTTCTGAAAAATGGTTTATTAAGTTGATTAGTCAAAAGGTTAAACTGTTTCTTTGTATCGATTTCCAGTTTGCAGTCAGAATTAGAATTCTGTATAGTACTTTTATGAAAAGCTTTCAAACATAATCTTTTTAACCATCACTTCACGTCAACTAATGATAAAATTCGTGAAGTATTCGAAATAGGAGTAATCGATAACAGAATAAAACAAATTTATTGGCCTGTAAACAGAAAACATCTTTTTGGAAAAAATGAAAAATGCATATAAATGAACGAATTGATTGCATTTTAACAATTATTCTCATTGTTGCGATGCATATTGCAGACCAACTGACTAATAAAGACTCAATTGAATAAAGAAATAAACATATATGTTTTTGATTTACTTTTAAAAATGGCTATTTACTAGCATATTCTATGATTATACAATTCACAAAAGTTATAGGTAATAAAGACCACAGAATACAATGATTGATAGAAATCAGTTAAAACAAAAGAAAATCATTGAGATAAAGAACCCTAGGCGAACTTTTTTTTTCATGATCTTGAACTGCGCAAAACTCAAGGTTTGTCCATAGCGCATGACTTTCTTGCTCAAGACAAGCGCTTGAGTGTTTGCATGAGTTACAAGAAACTCATGTGCTCAACTCAAGAAAATGCAACTATAAATTNAGTGATACTCAAGATTTTTCGATTGTAAATTAGTCTTGTTCTGCTATTATTCTTTAGATGACATCTCAACAAAAAGTTTTATCTTCTGATCGTATTCTTAGTTTACCTAGTGTCGATATTGATGATCATGAATGTTTGATTTATCGTGGATTACTTTGGATACCAGTTGCCTGTCAATCATGTGAAACACCTTTCTGTTCGTCATGTATTTATCAATGGTTGGTCGATCATCCAAAACATTGTTCAAATTGATGTTACATATGAATTGTTTCTACCGATCTTATGGTTGCAATCAAGTATGTATATGATGATCACATTTTCAACTCTATACTTTCTTTTTAATAGGTCACTTCATATGAAGGTTTAGATAAACATAAGATTGAATGTGATTTCCAGCCTCGTCAATGTCCTGGTTGTAAATCACAAACATTGAAAAAAGATTTTGATAATCATACGAGCAATTGTCCATCAATCGAATTAACTTGTCAAAATTGCAAGCTCGTGTTTAAAAGAGTTGATGCTAATCAAAAACATACAGATATTATCTGCTTGAAAGAACAAATTCGACAAGCTTCAAGATGAATCGAAAGAGTATAAACGTCAGATACACGAACTCAGTCTTCAATTAGATGAAATTCGCATTATGAGTAAGTGAATAACTAGATTCGATTTTCGCTAAGATATTGAAGTACTAATGAGTTTAGATCCAAGAATAACAGAAACTAAAATTATATTTGATGATTTACAATGTGCAACCGACAATTGTTATCGTATTCCAATTAAATATCGAGGATTAGAATGAACTGGTATGAATTATATTCACAAATCATATGCAATAAAAAATCATCCGACAAGTGGATATGCAAGAGCTTTTATACCTGATGGTAGTTTATACATAGCATATTTTAGTAACAAGGCATCAGTGAGTGTTGAAAATCTTGATGATATATTTACTTTTTTTTTCTGTCACTGTATGCGCTGCTTGGAACGATAATCTACAATTAACCATCACAGGTTATTGAAATGTCGTAGAGATCAAGAAACATACAGTGACACTTCTCTTTGGTAAACCATAATTTATTCTTCTTCATTGGGAAGACATAGACAAAATCATTTTTGATTCATCTGGTGGTAATGCTCATCCTGGTAGCGACGGTGGAACATGACCCCAAGTTATATTAACTCAAATTTTAGTACATACATATAAGAACTTAAATGAAACATGTCACTATGTAAAGCTCAAATAGAGAAATATTTAAAAGATTTCATTCTTCTTAATACAATGCCGTTATTAATATGAAATGAATATACATTGCGTGATTTTAGCATACACCTATGTTGGGAAGTATTATAATTATCACCTAAGAAAATATTTAAAATGATTGTGATGTTATTGTGGAAAAGGATTGCATTTCTTAGATTTCTAAGAACAAAAAAAAAATCTAATAGTGATATCGAAAAGAAATTTATAGATATTTGTTTATTGAGTATTTGTACATGAATTATATATTTAATAAATCTAATAATAATGATTATCAATTGCATAAAATATAATATGAATAAAATGATAAACTGGAATATTATTGATGTATGTCAAATTGCACAATTCTGTTTTTTAGAAAATATTTTCTTTGTTTTTTGTATGGTTGAGGTAAATATATAAAATCATCATATCTTTGAATGACATAAAGGCAAATGATAATTATAATATTAATCTAAATAATTACATATGATTATTCGGTATATTCATATACTTTCATGTAAATAGAAAACATAAGTATTTATGTTGTTTTCTGATTTGTATGTACAGTGTCAAGTTTTTATAAAAAAAAGTTATTCTTATTTTCTTGTGATTTAACTGTCTGGACTCGAATAGCGCTCTTCTTCACAAGAAAACCTACATATTTTAAAACAATATTGTTTTTTTTACATCTATCGAGAGTAATTATTATTTAGTTATTTATTTATTAGTGGCATTCCTTGCAAAGAGGAGCGGCATCTGAGTTGAAAATATTAAATTAGAAAGAAAATATCGACAATTTTATTTAATTCTTCTTTTTTATCTTGAAGTTTCCATGCATTTATCTTGTGTTTAATTATTTCACAGAGGCCAGTGCTTATCTACCCACGTTCTCAAGCAGATTAATAACACAACAAAATAAGAAAAAAGTCAATAGAAGCCGTTTCGACTTCCTTAAAAAACAAAAAAGGAAATATATTTCATAATTGAATGATTTCTAAAGGTAAATCTAACTTGAATAGTGTCATATGAACAAGTACCTAATGTTAAAATGTTTATAGACAACATGAAATATTATGCATTTAATATGATAATATATATATTTACAGTGTTCGGTCGTTTTTCTATTTAAATAAATTCTTAATCGAATTTTTTCTTATTGTTTAATATATTGTTTTAATCATTTAAAAATTGTATCATATTTAGCCGATGGAGAATAGACAAGTCGATTTGATGATATTGAATATAGTGCTTTGAATTTCTATTAGTAATTAGCATCAATGAATTTATTTATTTTTCGATGTCATTATTTTAAAGATTAAAATCTGAATATTTTCAAGTTGAAAATAAAGAAAATGTTTTTCTTAGAAATTAAAAAATTGAATACAAGAATTTCGTTGAATGAAATCTTGGTATGTCTAGATTTAAGGTATACGCGTTGCTGCCTAATTCGACTTTGAAAATGAATGAAATTTTCGAAAATTTCACTAGTACCTACATAGCTAAAGATAAAGCCAAAAATCTTTAACGACTTTCATGATAACTTGATAGATGAAAACAGCACCCTATGTGAAGACGGCCAAAATAGTCAAAGCCCCCTCTCTCAAAAAAAAAAACTTAATTTTTGTCAGAATCATTGAAATTGAGATAAATGCATGGGATGATATCTTGAGATCCGGTCTTTTAGAAACAGTATAATGTTGTATTTGACACGCCCTTTTCCCCAAAATATTTGATGATTTTCGCTGAAAAATAAGCATTTTTCGCATAAAATGCAACATGTTTTTTCGTTGGGGTGTGAACACTTCTGCTCCTTCAGTTTACATACCCTTTCCCAGACCCACACTCGCATCAGATGAAAACTTCTATCTCTTTAATTGACGGTACAGTGTGTCTGATATGTGTCTTACTAACCAGGTGTAACACCGTGATTGCCATACCAAAAACTGGTTGTAAGCCATGAAAGTTCACTCAGTATTGATACGGTGGTAAGTTGTTTGTAGAGACAGAAGACAAATTTACTATTTTTCATCAAATTTTGTGTCCGCAACAAAATAGTCTTTAGTGAGAATAGTAAATATGCCTAAGACGCGGATCACATAGTTAGATGATTGTTCATCGACATAAAGTACATAGTCAATTTATTTATAAGCGCTGATATGCCTTTGATAAACGATTTTCAAATACAAACATAGAACTCAACAAGACAAAGATGATTCTGCACAAAAAAAAAATACGGTACAGAAGCTTGATGTTCAGATCGTAGAGAGTCGAGTGTTTTCATGCCACAGTAATGCTTGACTCATAACTTTGCTATTTGTTATCCTATTGAGTGCGGATTGATGTCTAGAATCAGAACCGACTGAATTATATTTCAAAGCTCGAATTTTTGCTTACTGTTATCTGGTAGTGCTACGTTTGACTAATAGTATATTTTTCAAACCAAAATCGACCAAAACTATCAAAAAATATATACATTCGAATTGCTAATTTTTCTTCTCAGCACCAGCAAGTTTGTCTAATATTATATTATCTATCAATGGATATGGATTTGTAAAATTCAATTGTCATTGTCTATAATTTATGTATGTGATAACAGATTTAATAAAAAATTGTCAAAAGAATATTTTTTTTTTTATTTATCTATTAAGAAGTAAACATTTGATATTGTTCAATACAAATATTTTTTTTAACGACCATGATACACTTAATTAAGCAATGCACGTTGAAATGTCATCATCATCTTATGAAAGATCTAGTTGATGCAGAACAAGTTCTTGAAGAGATGAAAATTTATCGATTGCATTATTGAGATTTATTGTTGATACATTCTTCAATAATATTTGTTTATTGATATTCAATAATCGTAGATATTGCATCCAATTGAGTTAACACATAATATTACTCACGAGTTCTTCTGATACATAGTACATGTATATTTTAAAATTAAAGTATAATATTATTTAGAATAACAATTCAATTTGAAAAATAATGATAATTATTCTTGTTAAGAATCAATCAAAAGAAAGAATATTTCACTTTTCTATAAAAATCTATCGTTTAGATGAAATTAGTTTTTGAATAAAAAAAAATTCTGTTTGATATTATTGTCTAAAGCTGAAAAAGAAAAGATCTCATTGATTTACTTATAAGATTGTTAATGAATAGTATCAGTTGAAGTTGATCAAACTGTATGAGATTATTCTCATTTTATTTCAATTAATAATATACACGAAGTTTAATTGTTATTCTATATCCACTTTTTAGAAATACTTTTATTTTTTGTGTTGATAAAAGACAATTAAAAATAACAACAAATGAAATGCTCAGCAAATTAATAGTTTGTTTACTGTTAAAATTAAAGTATCAATAACTAATTCAATTTATTGATTTAAAATTGCATTCACTCATTAAATGAATAGTACATGTACGGTGCAAAAAAAGAATAAACAAATATTGATGCCTTTTCACTTGATTTTTAGGTGGGAGAGAAAATCTTCTCTCCATCGACATCGCCAACTACATGAACCAAGGGGGAAACATTTCATTCGGGCATTCCGATCCATTCGAATGGCTCGGAATGAGTTTTTTCCCCCTTGACACGAACACTCACACTTCAAACTTACGAGAAGGTGAGACCGATTAAGGTATCACGTTTTTTTTGTTTTTCAGCTCATATAAGAAGAACTTAATATGTTTTCAATGGATACTTTCTGAGAGTGAAAAGCAATAGGAGTTCATAGTCATGTAAGTAATAGGGTGTGTACATACTTCCAATCAATATTTGAAGTGTATTTTTTCATTCGAGCATGATTACATGATCATTAGCATATTTAATAAAGTAAACAAGTCAAAGCAACGACATGTAGTTTCAATGATATAATTCGAGAGAAAACTTCTTTCTACTATCGAAGGCTATGCCATTGATCAAGTTTGACATGCGAACCAATAATTTAAATTTCCAAACAAATACAATACTTGAACTGAATCAATATAATTAAATAAGTCGTGGTGAAATCATTGAAAAAATCTTCCATAGATGTTATATTGGTTGTGGGTCATGCCATTTTCTATCATAACCCATAAGTTAGAGAATCTGCATCATATTTTGTTCTTTTAAATCTATAATTATTTAGTCATAATGGTCGGTTAAGAAAAGTGTAAATATCAGAGTTAAAGAAAAAATTTTTTTTTAATTTCTTTGTCAACAAATGATTTCTCATGCTTTTTCTCTTTGCTGTTGTAAAACGAAGGGAAGAGGTAGGACGAAAAAAATATGTAAAAATGCTATGAACAAGCAATGGCCTTATCCATATGATCGTTCTTCTCTATACTACGTCGTAACTGTATATATATGTGTCACCGTAGCTGCTATTCATCGGAAGGAGTGTGGATCTGAGTGTATCCTTTTTCTTTTTCGCGCATTCATTCCTAACTTTAACATACAAGTAGTTAACTTTTTTTATGAGTTCTTGTGTAAAATTCATTTATATATATAAGTAAGTATCATCGCATATATGATCTATGCCATTTCAACAGATAAAAATATATTATTTGCCTATCTGCAATTGCCGCTAATATTCTTTTGTGAAATTAAATATGCAAATTCATCTGTTGAACTATTTTGACGTTTTTAGATAGTTTTAGAAAATTTCCAATCGTAATCTTGTATGTCAATATTTAGTTTGTATTGAACACAGTTGCATGAAGTATATACATTCGGTTTAGGACGAAATTAATTTTTTCAAAAAAGAACAAGTGACCAATATCGATGCGATATTCCTATGTACGTATATTGATTTTCATTCATGCAAAAAAGAGGAAGTCGTCTGTTCTATTTACGTGAAAAAAACAGAAGATAAAAAATTTTTATCCAAGATTATTTATGACTCTAAAGGCCATGCACCAATGTCAATACTACTTTGAGTATCATCAGTTGCATTCTTTCTTTTTCTACAACATGTGACAAACACAAGACAAAGAAATTACGAAACAATATGTCTGTTCCTATACTTGCAGCGTTTATTCTAGTAGCAATTATCGAAGCTACTTGTGGTTCATGCATATATAATGGCAATTCTGGTATAGATCGTTGTTTCATCTAAGATATAAAAATATTTCTGTCCATTTAGGAGTTTCTTGCGGCTTCATCTATCCTTTCACATGGTGTTGTTCAAGTAAGTTCGACTTTTTATTCCAATGTGTCTATGTTAATTCAAAAAATTTGATTTGAAACAACTAGAAGCTTGTGGTAGCTCATTTAGAACGTGTGCGGATAGTTCATTTCCTGTATTGGCCATCGTTCTTTTAGCTGTTTTGGGTCCCATAGTTATCATTATTTGTTGTATGTATTGTTTTCTCAAAAACACCATTAATTCACGTCGAGTATCCGACATGTCAGCGAATGTTCAGCCTTTTACAATTACTCAGTGTCGAACATCATTTCGAGATCAATCACCACCACCACCACCATTCGTGGAAGATTTTCCACCCAGCTATGAGATGGCAGTGGTTAATAGTTTACAAAAGACTAACATGCAATCAACTGATGTTCCAGATGAATCGAATAATTAATGTCTTTCATACGATAATAATCGAGATGTTTAGAAAAATTTTTTTTTTTTTTTGTTTCTTGTAAACAGACAAGTGTACGTTGCATGATCTAAATAGTTTTTGATTGTTGAACGTTGAGAGGAGAAAGTTGTAATATTTGAAACAGTTAATAAACGGTGACAAATTAATAGTATTCATACATAGTGATCTTTGTTTACATTGATAAAAATTGTATGAACGTTATTATCTAGGGATGATCATTTAGTTATTCTCTTCTACTTACTATGTCATCTATTACTTTTTTTCTAATTTGATAATTGGCAGAAAACAAGAAGAAATATTACTTTATGTATAAAATTGAATCGCCATTTCAAAGTGTGGCGTGTGCGTGAATCTTCTATTCACCCACATTCACCCTCAAGAAAAGAACAAAACATTTTAACTTTGAAGAAGAATGTTTTGCGTTCGAAACGTCAGTGATTTTATATACTTTTAATAATAATAAAAATAATCAATAATTAACAAATAAAGGAAGAGACAAAGATTATCTTTAAAATGATTAACATTCTCTCATTATGAAGGAGTAAGTGCTCCAATGCTTATCCGAAAAGAAAAATGATGTACAGAACTGTCGATGAAGTTGCATGTGAAGACATGGGCAATTATCCGACAGAATTCTTCAATAACATAACACTATCAGGAATGTCTCTCGATCAACTCAATTTAAAGATTGATACAATACTTATACTTCTTCACAATTTAGATGTCAATCAAGAGCTTTACAATGGAGCTTGGCTCATTGTAACACGGTTACAAAATTGCAAGATGGATTCTGAAGATGCCACTGGATCTAATAGAGAAAATCGAAATCTTACTCAGGTAAGTGTTTTTCGACCTTGAACACGTCCCTGAGCGTCTATGATTTGTGCAAATTGACGCATTGGGAATGCAATAATTTCAGGTGTGTGAACGCATTCAAAAATCGAAACACGTGCAAACTCGTCTATCTTACAGACAGATTACGACGCATTTTCGGATTTTGTTGCGTTTGGATGCAGTAGGAGATGAACGCGTTGGGATGCGTTTATTTTTTGCCAAAAAAAGAAATTAAAAAAATTACCATCACGTTGTGTCGAAATGGAATCGACGTACCATAGTAAGCTATGATATAACACTCAAATTCTGTAAGCAATAGAGTGGTAATGTTTTTTCAATGACAGCTTGAACAAATATTTGAATACAGGACCAGTCAATTACGAACCCAAACACAGGTGCATTAGCTTGTATAACACTATTTGGCACAACTTTGCGAATAGAGCTGTTATATTTTAAGTTCGTGAAATAAATGTAAATAATATATTTATCGAAAAAAAATCAAAATAAATATATTCGTGATATTTATAAGAAAAATTAAAAAAAGGAAATAAAAAATTTCCATATTTAAAAAGATTAAAATTTCAGAATAAAAAAATATCTCGCTCTGTGATAAATAAATATATCTATGTAGTATAAAGGCATTGATTAATTTCTTTTTTCTTACTAGTTACACCTCAATATTCAATGTTAATAAAATTTGAGAGTACTAAAAGAAAAAATATATGAAAAAGTGTTTGTCTATGTACTTTGTTGTAATTATGCTATCAAAATATTGTTGGGTATTTCGGGAAAAATAAAATATTAGGTTTCATTAAAACGGACCCCTTTTTAATTTACGTTTCTTTACCTTCTTAGAACAAAAAAACTTTCATTTATCTTTTTGTTATAGGCATATATTAAAAACTTTATTCATTCTTATATTTGCAAGTAATAAAAATTTGTTAATGTTTATAACTTTATTACATAAATTTAGAAGTTCTGTTTTCAATCATGTTTCATTATAGACAACAATAAAGATAAGCCAACGACTCCATTTGAAAAGGCACTTGTGAAATTCAGATAAAATGAAACAGTTGGCAATAAAAGTAACATACTTATAGGATTTATTTGCTTGTATAGGTAAGAACCGGTGAAATGCACAAAAAAACACTGTAAGATTATAATCTGTTCTGCACTTCGATAAATGTCAGAATACCCAACAGAGTAATTAAGTGAATTCAGTTTCACATCACACAACTAACGAACAGGAGTAATGACTTCTTTACTCATACGCAAGCTATACCTCTTTAAGCTTGAGGAATATGAGTGAGTTTGGTGTATTACTCCAAGTGTAATGACATACCTCATCGCAATAGATAACTATATATTCTAAGTAATTACACTCGAGGTAACACCCAAAATCAGTGAAAACGCTCAACTTTTAGAATATGCAGTTTGTTGTTTTAGATGAATAATGTCATTACCCTTAGGGTAATACCTCGAGAGAAGCGATTTTTCTTGTGATACTGAAAAAGATGAAGTGATTACTCCTTGAACTGGTAGCCAGTCGATACAAGTGAATACACTTCTGTTGAATACGCTATTAATTTTCGTGTTGTGGGAGTGTGGATACCCGGTGTAACGGGACTATGGCATCACTCAATAAAAGAGGTGCAAACAATAATCAATTATGAAACGGGTGCTAATTTATATAATCAATGTGTTAAGTCAAACTCAATTCGATTATATATTAATGATAGTGATGAAGTCTGAATGCTAGAATCCGGTTTGATTTCGACACAAAATGATGATTATTTTTTGACTTTCTTGAGAATAAAGTAAACGTATTTATCTCATAACAGTATTGTAATGTAGAAAAGTCAGAAAAAGTATATTAATGCGTTTTCAACAGGGACGAGTTTATACCCTTTTTGATTTTCGAACGCGTTCATAGCTTCGAAAATGTTGCATTTTGGATGCGTTCAAATCTGTTAAGTTGCATAGCTTGTAAACGTTCAGGAAAACTTTAGGATCTTCAGGAGTTTAAGCATGAATATATGGGCGATAAAAAGAATATTATTTATTTATTCTAATTTCAATAAAAATAGATAGTTTTTCGTATAGTATCTGCTCGTTAGGTACTTATTATAAACTTAGATCAGTTTGTATGATTCTGAATTACTGCACACAGAAATAACGAAAACAACATCATAATTATCGATTGAAAACTTAAAGAGATATTTATGAAAAATTATCCCGCTTAAAATATATATCACGAAGAACCATTTATAGAAATATGCTTCAGCTTCTTATTCTTGTTCAAATGAGTTAATAGAAAGCTCATACGTTTATCCAAAGGAATTAGAAAAGTCAATTTTTTTCTTTCAGCTACTATCTCCTAAACCTAATATAATTACACAATAGTATTACCTCCAATCACAATACCATTGCAACGACGATGTAGCACGTCGAACTTGTAGGCACATTTTCACACAGATACAACATTTTTTCTAAAGTATTTATTCTCACTAGCTAAACTATATAACTATGTATTCAACTGAGTTTCAGAAAGCATTGGATTCAAACGTGTTTTATCGAGTCTATGAATTAAACATTTGATGGAAGAGACATAGCTGCTTTCTACCATTAAAGTGATCAGAGGTATAGAATGGTATGAATGTGTCTCAATGCGTATTATAATAAAAGATAAAATGCGTTTGCATGCGGGTGTGGGTGTGGATGCGGGATGTGAGTGTGTGTGTCCATGTATTGAGATAAAATGAATCCACACCCACACCCTGAATTCACTGCTTAATTAATAGTGAAGAATTAGATAATGTGTTATTTAAAGCTCCTATGCTCGGTGGCGGCTTATTTTCGGCACATTTTTCTGCGAATCATTTCCGCTCGTTAAATAATACCATTTTTGAAACATAGAACTTCGCAGGATGTGTGGGTGTGAGTTCATTTTATCTCAATACACGGATACACACACTCACATCCCGCATCCACACCCAAAAGCACAATCAGCAGTTCGAATCGGGAAAGATAGCGGCGAGTGGTTCCGAACAAACGTAGGAACTAGACAAGGAGATCCTCTATCACCACTCCTCTTCATCACATATCTCGAACGAGTAATGGATCAGGTGAAGCAGAACACCTGTGGAGTCATCATCAGTGAAACAATTGTAAACAACCTGAGATTCGCTGATGACATAGATCTTATAGATGAAGACTATAGCTCACTTCAAAATCAAATCGAGCTAACTAGAAAAGCCGCCGAACAAGCAGGGCTCATTGTGAATACAAATAAAACTAAAACAATGGTATTCGAAGATCAAAACATTGAACATGGAATTCAGATAGCAGGAGAGACCATAGAAAACGTTGAAAAGTTTGAATACCTAGGGTGTCTACTGACACGGGACAACAATTGTTCAGATGAAATCAAAAGAAGAATAGGTAAAGCGATATGCGCAAAGGTTTCTCTAAAACACATATGGAACAGCAAGAAACTGAAAGTGGACAATAAACAGGATATCAAAAGATAAAACCATAAAAGACATCATCAAAAAGAGGAAGCTAAGATTGTTTGGCCATATCTGCAGAATGGACGATAGTAGGCTGATTAAGCACATCGCATTCGCAAAAATGAATGGAAAATCTCGAAGAGGTCGTCCATATAGAGAGTGAATGGACGACATCACAAAATGGTGTGGACGCAGTGGACAAGACTTGTTCCATGTGGCACAAGACCGATGAATATGAAAGAAACTAGTCCGAACAGTGGTTGGCCCCAACGGGCGATAAGCCTATGGGACATCATGAACTTAGATTCTAATAAATAATACTTTAAGTATTACGAATTCATTTTTGTTGCCAATCAAGAATAACCAAGGGCATGTGTATAAAAGGATGTGGTTGCCTGTGTCGATATCCATTAATCATTTCCGCCCGTACTCTACAAAAACCCACAGTCACAATTTCACCTAACATAATTTCTTCCCCATAAATTTTTCACTTCTGATAAGAATAATTAAATTGAGTGGGTGTGGATGAAGAAAGGACTCAAAGCCATACCCAGAGCAACATCAACACCCACACCTTTCGTTTTCATTCATAAATTTAAGACGAATGAATCTGAAGATTTTTTATATTCTTTCAATATTATAATATGAATAAATTCTATCTAATCTTCTCATATTTAATATTTCACATTTTGCTTCTTAAAACGTTGATAACTATAACAATAAATCATTAATAGTAACCTTATGTTACTAAAAGTATTCCAATATGAAGAAAACAATCAAGCGGAAAAATGTTTTCTTTACTTATTCGTTAAAAGAAAATCTAATTTTCCTTGTTTTTATATTTAAATGAATAAAGGTATTGATAATGTTTGACTTTTGAAAAAGAAAAGCTCATGAAGAGAAATAGTTGACACTTAGATAAATTAGTTATATTATAGCTCACTCTTCTACATATTTGACATAGTAATCTAGTGGAAAAAAGTTTTGAATAGTATCTATTGATTCATAATATAGCTTCGATGTTCTTAATGTTCCCATTCTAGAGCAATTATTTCTTGCTTGTTGTTGATTTTGAGAGATTATTGTGAACAATATATCCTTGTTAATAGCGAGTTCGATTAGAGAAGGAAGATAAATTTGACAAATTAATTGTTCAGCATAATCGATATGAATATCGTAATTAAATAAGTACAGCTAAATGAGAAAAATCAATGTTAGTTTTCATCACTGATACGCTTTTTTTCTTGTTGTTCAAGTTGATTAATTATCTCAAGTGTTCGAAGTCGAGGTAGACCTCGAGCCAGACGTTCAAAGAAAATACTTTCGAATGGTTTAACATCATCAAAGAGTAATAAAATAGTAACATTTGAGAATGTATTCAGAGAGTGGAAATCGATTTGAAATAAAATCAAGACGAGTACCAATAAATAGAAGTGAATAGATTTGACATTGTCCATATTTATTCTTAAAATGATCGAGGACACAATCAAATGGTTGTTGCTGTTTAAGAAAACTTTGACGAATTTTATCAATTTTAATATGAGAAGCATTTTTTAATATTGAACGAATATGATAATTAAATTGACGTAAACGATGCATGTATGAAACAATATCTCTTTCTAAGATAGATCCATCAATAAAATGATTGGGTGTAATACCATCTTGACCTATAACTAACAATAATTTTAAATATTCAACATTTGACAAACGTTGTCAAAGGGAAATACATGATTCGTAGTTATTAAAATTATGATACATTATCATTGTCACTTGTTTTAAATGAGGACACGAAATCTAAATTAGTAAATTCATTGAAATGTCAAATCAAAAAATCTTACTTACCGATTTCATTTCAGAGATTAAATAAAATTGGTTCCCAAAAACCTTTGCTACAGTTACTGTGAATGAATGAAGTTGTGAGTCCAATTGATTGAGTAAATGAATGCATTGATTAAAACTCCACAAAGATATACGAAGATGAGTTACTCGACTTAGTTGATCGAAGTATAATTGACGATTGGTAAATCTTATGGTTAACATAAGATTCTCATCAAATTCGAACGATTGAATAGAACGCATAAGTGATGAACGACACAAGGTAGCTACATTTTCTTCAAAAGTGCAATTGGGTAGTACAACAAATTGAGGTATAATTGCGAAGAGAGGTTTACGCATTTCAAAACAGAACATATGACAGTTTCCTAAAATAAATGTACACAAAATATCACAATATGAAATTTGTCAAGCTGGTTATTTTGGATAATAATGACAGAATACGTTGACAAGACATTTGTCTCTTTTCTGGTCATAGTTATTGAGAAAAAAATCTTTGATATGTTAAAAAAAAATCAGATGATCTAAACAATTTTTCAATTATTATATTCAATTGTGTAGTGATTTTCTTAACAAAAGTAACGAATGAATTTCTTTGCCTAAAACATCAACAAGAGATTTTAGCATTGTTAAATGACAAAAATCTTCCTTTTTTTTCTCATAGAAAATAAACTAACACGATATATAAACACAATTTTAAAAAAATTCGATCAAATAGAATTTACCTATTGTATAAGGTATGCCTGTTTGAGAATGTTTAGTACCCAACATAATTTTCAAATGTGTCAGATTTAGAAGAGTTCCATTGCAGTTGTTTTCAACAAAATTTTGAATAGAAGAAATGCGATAAAGATTAATTGTTAATGATTTAATATCATGAATGATACGAGGCATGACATTGGAATAAAATCTTTTCATAAGTATTTTATGTGGCACTCGACAATAATCAAAAGTTAAATCAATTGAATGGCATCTATCAAATGCAAGTTGTTTTAAACGATAATTACCAATATTAATCATTGAACAAAGGAATAAAACTTGAGGATTAACTTTTTTCATAATAGCTAATATTAATTCATCCGGTCAATCGACCAGTTCAATAACATCTTTCATAGAGAAAAATTAGAAAATAAATCATTTTGTAAAGTATATACATACTCATTTTTGATAAACAGTTCATTATTGATATGTTGCCTCCGTATATATTAAAGGTGACATAGACATTCATGTATATACGTGTATATATATGAAAAGTTATGCTTGATAAACATTGTCTACATGAGAACCAATCATTATTGTCGAGATCGATCATTCCGGATGTTCGTAACGGCGTCGTAAACGATATAAAACGGCGCTATTACGGACCGTAATTCGTCAGCCCGTTGTATGACCCACCGTTTAGTGCAGTAAACGATCATCGTTTTTACAAGAAGCGGCCATCGTTTTTCACCGTATTTTAGCCGTAAAACGGTATGCCGAAAGGTCTTCATACAATATAATGCAATATTATACAATATTGCTTCTCGCATTATTTTCTTCATCTCATTTATGGTTTAAATGCGGTGAAAAACGATGGCCGTTTCTTTCAAAAAACGATGATCGTTTACTGCACTAAACGGTAGGTTATGAGACGGGCTGACGGATTACGGCCTGTAATAGCGCCGTTTTTTGCCGTTTTATACCGTTTACGACGCCGTTCTCTTTGACCTGGGTGAACAATTATGACAACGAAGGGGGGGGGGGGGGTTCATTTTATCTCAATACACGGATGCACACTCACATCCCGCATGCATACCCACACCCACATCCTTTATCCGCTCTTGAAAAATTTCTATAAAACGCAATGAGAAATGAAAAACATCGTTTAGAAAAAATCCATGTTTTATTATATACTATCCGAAGTACCCGACGTACCCGAGGAAATTCAACATTTCATTTGTGACAAATTGGCAAATGGTAGCCTTCTGGTTTCCTATAAGTTATTGATCTTGGGTGTCGCAAAATACGCTCAAAGTTCTTTCCATTTTTAAAATTTTTGTTCTTCTTAATATTTTGTGAAAGACAATTGAAAATGTGCGTTGAAATTCATAGCAAGAAAAGTGAACACCATCATTTCCCACAGACCACGACAGAGTTTTTCGATATGTAGCTGCCAGGGGTGTAAGTAGGGCTAAAAAAATGAGGGGTTGGAAGATTTTAGAGTCCGCAACCCATTTGGGGTGTGGGTGTAGCTGTCTTGTTCTTGACTTATACACACTCACACCCTTTATTTCATATAAGCTTAATTTTTGCAGCAGACTTGAAATCGATACAGTATCAAGCGTTTGATTGGACATCGACCTAGTCTCATTGAATTTTTCAAAGCAGCAGATAGTACTTGGTTTTTGTTAAACTACTTTTGAGAAAAGTTTTGCTCGTTTTATCGATTTTCCTGATTGAAATGTTCAAAAAAAAACGATTCGACACTTGAAATTAATAAATTTTCTATTAGACATCGAACTTTCAGCTTTCAATTTCGTCCTAACGCTTTACATTATACAATGAATTATTTCGAAGCATACTGAATGCACTGATGATAGTCAAGGAAAGTAATTCACCAATCGTCAATTTAAACTTAGGCTCAAGTAAAAATTCCGCATCTCAAATCTTAATGTCGAGCAACTCTCAGATTATGTTTTAATTGCAAGACAAACATAAAAAATACTCCTTTTAATACGACAGATTACTTCAACAACTTGTCTCGTTCTATTGAAAAAAGGCTTCGATCTTGGTAAAAATAAATAGACAAAAAGATGCAATCTATTTCAAAATCGAACTGTATGGGTAATTTGGTTTTCCTACAGACGATATTAACTAACAAATAGAGAAGTTCGTCAAGTAAGTATAACACTATTTGTTGATTTTTACTATGTAAACATGAAAAAATAGTACCTCTTCACTTCAAATAATGATCTCACATGAGGAAACATTGAACTTATCACTTCTTATGAAGAAATTAGATATGTGCTTTATTTATTATTACTATTTTTTCAATTTGTTCTTGTAGACCTTTCAGTGCAAACTTAAAGAAAAAATAGATTAAGATACTTGTCCAATTGATAGCGTGTAGAGAGGAGGAATCTTTTTCTGTTGTTAATACCAAGAAAAAAGAAGAGGGTTTTTATAGAAATATATCCCCGTTTTAGCCGCAGTTAACATAGTAGAAACATTGTACGATTTTTCGCTGATTTTTAAGAAGTTTTATTAATCTGAGATCCTGTTTTTCTGTCTTAGCACAACAAAATCTTCTCAGTCTATTGAAATTGTAATATGACTTTTAATTCTTTCATATTGGACTATATATGTCTATAACTATTTTCATCGATTATGTTAAAAATATGTGATCATCGAAAAAAATTGTACTTCAACTGATCAAACTTTTAAATAAACTAAGCTCATTTAGTAAAATATCATTCAGTTTTAGGCTGATTTCATTGGCTAGTGTTGGATCGACTAGATTGCAACTCTAAATAAATGAAAATACTCATGGATGAATTCCTTAATTAACACATTCGCGGCGATGTGGCCCACCGGTGGGCCACACTATAGAGTGGCCAAAATTTCTTTCAGTGCAAAAAACATTCAATATCTTTATCACATTTCTACCAATGGACCTGATTCTTTTACTATTGATAAAGGAATGTTTATTGGTCATACTTATAAGAGAAACATTGATAAAAATCATTTTGAAGTATTACAACTGTCATGAATAATGAAATGGAACTTCTGATGGCTAATGAACAAATAATATTCATATCGCTGCGAATGTGTTAATTTAAACTAAAACGACCAGCCTCAAGCGATTTCAATATTTGGAAGTCAATTGTTTACATCTTGCTTTTTTAGCTGAATAAAATGTAGTTTCATTATAAAATAAGGGATTCTTTTATATCACAAATAAGAAAGAAAAATGAAAGTCAAAACTAATGTCATTAATAGTGAAGAAACCATTTGTTTATTTCCATCGGCAATCCGTCGTCCATTAGCATCTGTTAAACCGTAATTGGTTAATATAGTTTTGATTTGTGAAATTGTTTCATCGGTATTGCATAGATTCTGATTACATTCAACATCAAATGATGTATGATATCTTCCATCATAAATATGAACTCTGGGTTCATTATATTGACTGCAGCCACGTGAAATGAACTTATTTTCTTGTAGATTATAATCTAAAGCGCATAGTTCATCCGATGAACATATCACAATTTCTTTTCTCATATTATAACATTGAATTGAACCGTTTCTTAAAGGATTCTCAATAATTGAAGCAATTAGTTCATATATGGTTTGGGCATTGTAATTTCGACCAATCATTTCATTAATTTTGTTTTGTGCATATGAAATAATACAATCAGTTCCTTTCGAGCATTGATAATTAATTGAATAACTTAGGTAGGGTCCAGATCTTATATAAAAAGAATCGGTCGACAACATAAGAGTGTCAAATTCTACATAATACGAAAGATCGTGATAGTTGAATGTCATATCAATAGAGCAAGCATATCCTGATTTTTGTTGTTGACATTCTCCATCGGGAATATTAAATGTTTGACCAAAATAATAAGGACCAAGCGAACAGTTGGTTCTACATTTGAGAGCATAGCCAATGTCTGTTGCCAGCAGTAGAGTTAATAATAATGCGATCATTTTGCGTTTGTCTGAAAATGCAAAAAAATAATCTGTTTTTATATTCTTTATCAACAAACACGTAGGAAGGCTTGATGACAAATATTGTTTTACTAAGCAAATCGAATTCTGTTGTGATATGAATCAGATTGGTATGATACGTGAATGCGAAGATGTCAACTCGAACACGCTATTCGTTCTTTTTTTGTAAATGAATCCCTAACTAATGGAACAACAATTAAATAAACGTCTATTAACAGTGAAAATCCTAAAAATTTAAGCGCTTATCAGCGTTATTTTCTAGATTAGAACGTCTATTTCAATTGCAAAAACAAAACTCAATAAGTTCAATGGGATAGTCGGACTATTATTAGTATTAAAACTTGGATGATCAGTTTTCATCTTTTTATGAGTTCAATTTTTTTTACATACTGAGTCAGATATATTTTTTCTCAATCAGTTGGTTCATTCAACTGGCATCAATCATTCTTTGGCTTTTTTTCTGTTATAACTACGAAATCGACTCATGAATGACATACATTGTTCACTTTACTAGCGCATTGGTCATGTCGAATTTCATTTTTGCCGCTAGAATACTTTTTAAATGTTCTTTTCATGATTTTGAATACATGTATGTTTTATTTAAAATTTATTTTTCTCGCTTTATTTCGAAGTCAAACGTCTTAATTCTATTTACACTATAGTTTTCGAAAGCTGTTTCGTTTTCAATAATCAGTCTCGATTTGGATATTAATAGCTTTTGACCAACGTCTTTGACGATTTTTGAGTGAATATTCGATGTTTTTTTTTCTCCAGAGAAAGAAAATAAAAAGGGATCACCTCTAAAAGTAATTTATAACCAGCGACCTTCACGGAACGTTTTTTTTTCTTTTATTTTTAAGTAACTTAAGTAAGTAAGTTATTATTTCATACATCCAGGTCGAACAAGGACGTGTATAAACTAGTGAAAATTATTGTATTATAGAGTATTACACGGTTCCGTATTAGGATCGTATATCATCGTATGCAATATGCAGAAATATCTTCGTAATACAGATCTAGATAATAGACGAAAATACGATCCTATACAGTGAAATAGGGTGTGAATGTCAATTGTTGACTCTTTTCTTGTCACTCACATCAACAACCACGTCCTGCCAAAATATGGATTATTGTGATTACAAGTTTGACTATTGATATCTTCAATGTTGATTCATATTTCTGCCTAACTACACTTACAAAAACTGAGTGTATGCATCATGGTCGCTTTGCTGCTACTCTTCAATTTCATCGCATGCTTATTATTTGTTATTGATGCATTGGTTTCAGCATAAGAAATATATTTCTCACAGTGAAATATGATATTCGACCGGTGTGGGCCTTAATCAAGGATTAAGTTATGTGTCTCTACTGTAATGATATACAACATCTGTACAGTATTGTAGTAGTTGAATGGTACACCCTTGTAACGAATACATAGACAGAACATACTCGCTCGAATATATTGAAGATATGTGGAACTACAATCGACTAAAAGTTGAATAGTCTGCTTTATTATTTCTTCAAGAAACAATGATAAAAATAAATCACAAATCTTTTCTGAGAGAAATACAAAATATGATTAAATCTCAAATAGAATCATACTTTTGTTGTAACATTTTCTTTTTCATACGTTCACATCTGTTACACATGCCAAACTTGAAAGCTGAATTCAATCACTCAAAAATTATCAAAACATTGCAGGCATAACTAATCGTTTATGTTTGCGTCGGTGTGTGGAAACACGCTTCACCACGAATCATACTCGTCTCTATACGTATATACAAAAAAGTCTATCCTAATTTTAGATTTTGACACTACTGACAAAGACATATGGATTCCGACTTATAGAAAGATTGTAAATCTAAACGGACCTAGATGTTAGGATTTTCTTTTTTATTGTATCGCTTCTGACAAAACAATAAAGTCGATTGATTTCTCAAAGTCAAGACAAAAACGAACGACCAAAGAAAATTCAATGAATATAAGAAATTCTTGATGGCAATGACCTAAGAAGAAAACAAAAGACTAAAATACCTTTGAATTGTATATTCGAATAATGAATTTATGAATCGTTCGACATTTCAATCCCCTACATCATCATTTTCATGAACAATATGCACAGATGAGAAACGAAATTAATAAGATGTGTTTATCGCTACTCTTTCCTGTTTAATACTTAAGTGATAAAAAAAAACACACAGTTTTGAGATTACAAGTGACACAATGCATTGTCGTACCGAAAAGTAGAGACAGTTACTCTCATAATGCATTACACTGAGTCTACATATCATTGAAATCAATTTATTGAGTTTCCAATTTTTTCAATAGAAATTTTATCATATTTGACCTTTAAAAAGAATTATAAATTTATTTTTGTTCGTCTGCACGTTTGCAATATGTTCACTTTTATTTCGAATTCTTCTATAATGCTTGGCGTTCTTCTTTATTTTTCATTAATGTGCTAATGATAATGTATATGCTTCGAAAACAAAATAATCAGAAATTGTTGATTTTCATTGATAATAAAAAAACTGATGTTGAACTTTTCAGCAACATTGCTTCGAATATAATTTACGACATTCAATGTAACATCGGTATACGCACAGGAAACAATACCATCAATTAACCTTGTATATAAAATTTTCTTGCTAATAAATCTCCTAGTAAAATAAAGATCAACTGAGTTTAGTTTGTGGTAATTGAACAAACCTATAGTTAAATTTTGACTAAAAATACGTTTTTCATTTCAATAGAGTACTGTCCATGTGAAAATAGCTTATATTTCTCGCTGAAAATTCATAATTTATTCAAGATTATGACATCTTTCCAATAAAAAATGAGATTTTTTATCTAATTACATCTTTGTCTGCATGAAAGTCTTAATTACACTATCTCGCATATTAAATTTCATCAGTTTTGAATATTGCATTGTTAGAAGAAGAATTTTTGAAAATACTTGTATGTTGTACAATACTTAAACAAAGGTGAATATTTTGAGAAACTAATATCTTGACAATGTAATATTGAAAACTGATGATATTTAATTTACAAAATAGTATAGTCGAGACTTTTATGCATACAAAGGTGTAGATCGAAATTATAATTTTTGTTTTTCTTTTTGAAAACTGCTCGTTCAAAATGAAAGTCGGTAAAACGCCATTGTAATGTTGAACTAATATTAATATCACTTATTACGAATACTTTACGTAAGAAAACTCAAGTCATAGATACACTATTATCACTATCAATAAACATTGCAAGTTTTCCATCATTATCATCATCGCCTCATTCTCAACTAGTTTCTACCTATGAAACTGAAATTTCATGTAGTGTATATGCATCTAAGGAATCAATAGCAATTATATCGTGTCATAGATGTGGTCAATATTTTTGTCTAAGACATTTAAGCCAACACCGAGATAAACCCAAGGAAGATCTGAACACGATTATCAATGAATATGACGAAGTTCTGCAAGATATCTATATGAGAATGAATCGCTCATTGAACCTACTGGCTAATGACGGTGCTCAAATTCTGTTGAAACAGATTGATGAATGCCAAGTGAAAACGATCGATACATGTTGTTGAACAGCTGACGAAATTCGTGAAGTAGAAAATAAGAGAAGAGTATTTTTAAACAGCAAATTCGAATCTTAAGAAACAAATTAATAGAGTAGAAAATACCTGAGAGGCCCATTGAAAATGATCTCGAACGATTGAAACCAAAAGTAGAACATCTCAAAAATGATATGATGTGACTGATGACATTAGACGAACTTATTATTATTCAAACACAACCAATCAATTGAAAAAAGAGTCTATACATTTAAAGAAATTCTTTTTTGCAAATATGCCTACATTCTAATAATCGTATTTTATCCATCTCATGCTTTTGTAACTACGAAAATGGGTAGTAATTGATGAGACAAATTTCGATGAAAAAGATCTATCAAGTGAGATTAAAAAATACACAGAAGATATTTCCATAATTGTTTGCACAAGTGACCCATTGTAAATCATGTAATCCGGAATGTGATTCATCAAAGCTTGCTTTCTCTGATAATATTAGTGTCTATAGTATGACAAATTCAGCATATTTATCCAATGAACAGTTGCAAACTCGGGATCATATCAAAGATGACTTTCTAGTTTCTATGAAGATCATGGAACACATTGATAGAATACATTCAATCGTATAATACAAACAGTGAGTATGATTTAATTACTTGGTCCTTTTAGGGGTAAATGTGGGTGTGGGTCCGTGACACAAAAGAAGTCTAACACCCACACTCACCACATGTGTATTTTTCATGGAAAACAGTTGGCATTATTCTATATATGAATCGATGCGATCTTCTACGTTGACTCTGAATAGGCTATCTATTTTAGTTTATTGCTGAGCCATGTAAAAAAAACCGCTGTATATGAACGCATTTTCAATTTTATATTCGATGTTGCTGTAAAAACAAAGTAATCCTAAATCTAAAAATGTTATCAATATCTGAAAATTTCTGTAAGAAAAAAAAAACGAGTTCTTACATGTCAACTCTACATTTTCAGTCATTCGAGTTATTCACAGTTTCGTTTTTTAGACAAACAGTGATTAGATCGAAATAAAAACTAAATATTTCTGATTGGTTCTATGAAACGAGAAAAAAATTCATTCAAATTCAGCTTTATGTACATCTTATTTGATTTAGAAGAAATGACATATATTCTGATTATTTCGTGATTGACTCTTTTTTCGGACTGTTCTCACTTGAGAAACTCAATAAAATAGAAAAAAACAAGAAAAAAAAACATCACGTACGAATAAATTTATTTTTCCCTTTGTTTTTATAGATAGACTAGAATAGTCAAACATGAATGTACAACTTTTCTCGGTCCTCGATAATAGTTCCAGACGAATCATGGCAAAATAATGATAGACAACTCTCTCTTCATCTAATGTACGATGCGAAAGTAATGGCACAAAATTTCGATACATATTTCTATTCAATAAAAGAGTACTGAAAGAAAACTTGTTTTACCAAATGATAGAGCTTTTCCTCCTTTTTTAAATTATTCAAAATGAACTGACTAAAGATTGTTTTGCTGAACTGTTCGAGCACTGATAAGCACCACTTTTAGTCTCGAATCGTATCGTTTTATATTATATTGATTCAACCAATCTCGAATAATACGATGCATAAAATCCAACTGAACGATGGCGGTTGCGTCTAACACTCTCTTTCAGAATGAGTCGTCGAGATTCATGAATAATTTGAAGAGCTGATGCATACTCATACGATCCGATTCAATTTGATAGTTGTAGATTATTAAAATTTTTCTCAGTATTGTTCGACTGTACGATCGGATAAAGTAGAGGAGTTGTTGGCAAGAAGGAGAGACGGTAAGTGGAATATGCGAAATATACTCTTTAACTGGTGATAGATCTGTGTGATTTCATTGACCGTTGGATAACAAGTTCCTCTGTGAATAAAAGTAAGGGAACTGCCTTTTCTAATGATGATAGTGCCATGTTCCGTCATTAAACACCAAAAATGATCACGAGCTTCCACGTACTGATGACGCCAATTTTTATTGAGCTCTTGCAGTGGCACTGAAGGCGTTTCAATTGTTCTTGTTCTTGCTTGTCGAAGAGAGATCATCAACCAAGAATGCCTCGTTTCCTCTTGTAAAGTCAGTCTTTCTATGGTCTTGAAATGGAAAAGATGCATAGGAGGAGGGCAAGTTAGACAAATATATTCCGCCATAGAGGAAAAATTGTTCGTTGGATGATGAAACTCTTAATTAAAAAAATCTATTTAGTACAATAACACTATGTTTTAGACTAGTTTTCTTGGTAAATGTCAGATCAACAGGATCCCGATTCTAAATAAATGTTAGTTAAACGCCAATGTGTTCAGTCATGCATTGAAAATGACACGGGTGATCTCGAGAAATTTTAGTATTACAGAGTTGGTTATTTATACCTTTCCCGTTTTGCTGAATTAAATGTAATTTCATTTTAGAACAAAATTTTGTTTTAGTTCAAAAATAATAAACGGCAATAAAAATCAAAGTCAATGTCATTAATAGAGAAGAAACCATTTGTTTATTTCCATCGGCAATTCGTCGCCCATTAGCATCTGTTAAACCATTATTGTTGAATACAATTTTGATTTTTGACAATGTTTCATCAGTATTGCATAGATTGTGATTACATTCAACATCAAATGATGTATGATATCTTCCATCATAAACAAAAACTTTAGGTCCATTATTTTCACTGCAACCACGTGATACAACCCTACGTTCTCGTTGATCGTAAACTACAGAGCATGATTGTTTAGATGTGCATACGACTATTTCATTTTTCATATTATAACATTGAATTGAACCGTTTCTTGAAGAATTCTCGATAATTGGTGCAAGCTGTCCATATATGGTTTGTGCATTGTAATTACGACTAATCATTTCATTGATTCTGTTTTGTGCATACGAAAGAACACAATCAGTTCCTTTCGAACATTGATACTTGATTGAATAAGAGAGATAGGGTATGGATGAAATATAAAAATAATCGGCCGACACCATAAGAGTGTCAAAACTTACATAATACCAATTCTCGTGATAGTCAAACGTTATATCAATAGAACAGACAGATCCTGAAATTCGTTGTTGGCATTGTCCGTCAGGTATATTAAATATTTGACCAAATTGATATCTACCAAGAGAACAGTTGGTTATACATTGGAGTCCATAACCAATATCTGCCATTAACAGTAATATTAATAATAGTGCGAACATTTTGTGTTTGTCTGAGAATGTAAAAAAAAATCTGTTTTATATTCTTTATCAGCAAACACGTGGGAAGATTTGATGACTAATATGACTCAGATTGCTATGATACGTAAATGAGAAAATGCAAGTCGAAACACGTTTTTCATTGCGCTTTTTTTTCAACTGAATCACTAACACATCGAACGATCATTACATAAACGTCTGTTAATAATTGAAGTCCTAAAAATTCAAGCAACTATCAAGATTATTTTCTAAGTGGGAACATCTATTTCAACTACAAAAACAGGAATCGATAAACTCTATCAGATAATTAGACTATTATTAGTATTAAAACTGAGATGAACAGAGTTCATCGTTTTTGTCTTATTCCATTTTTTACATACTGAATTAGATATATTTTTTTCAATCATTTCAGATCAGATCGCTCATGGAACTAGTGTCAATCATACTTTCATTGTCTAATGTTATAACTGTGAAATCGACTTGTAAATGACAAATATCTTTCCCTTTACAATTGTAGTAGTCATGTATAATTCCAGTTGTTGTCATTTAAACGCTTTTTAAGATCTTTCTTTTTATGATCTTATGTATTTATATTTTTTTTTAATTTGTTTTGCTCGTTTTAGCCAAAATCAAACGTCTCGATCCTATTTATACTAGAATTTTTGAAAGAAATTTCATTCTTGACAATCGGTCTCGAATTCAACATTAATAATTAGTGATCCATCCTTAATACTGTCAACCGTTATTGTGCAAATATTCGGCGGGTTTTGTCTTAGTTTTTCTCACAGGAAAGAAAAAGAAAAGGAACGACGTGTGAAGGTGACATACAACCAGCAGCGGTCATAGAACTTTTTTTCTTTGATCTCTTAACAACATGGGTAAGTAAGTTATTATTTCATACATACAGATCGACCAAAGATGCTTGCAAACTGCTATAAATCGTCCTGTTTTTGGGTATCACGTGGTTCCATATTACGGCACAAAAAGACCTTACATGGTGAAATATGAAATCCTAACCGATTTCGTTTACTTCTTCTTGGCTGCTTTCTTTTCGCTACAAGAGAATAAGAGCCGTTCTCTGAAACAATAAATTTATTATGTTCTCTGTCTGTTTAATATCATAAAAGATATAAACATAAATGTAAGGCTTTTTAATCTATCACAGTATTCTTTTCACATACAGCTGATAGATTAAATAAAAGTCAAAGTTTTTATGATACATATATTATTGAATTAGATCATAAATAATATGTTGAATAGATTTACTCTATGGCTGAAAAATGCTGAAAACTTGTTAATATGATTGCAATTATTTATAAAATAGAGGTAGCAACTTGTGTAGTACATATAAAAAAAACATAGTTAAGTTTTCTTGTATAAACTATATGATCAATTAGAATATCAATTTAAGGATTTATCTTTGCTTTAAAGTTGTTCTTTTGAGATAGTAGAACACAATAATAAGTTCGAATAGGCGATGTTTGAAGTTAAAAGACCTGTCTTTGAAAGTATGAACTCGTCTAAAAAACTGATCTTTTCTTGAACCATCTCCGACGAGAGTGTGGATGTGAGTATGAATATTTTCTTCTCCGACATTCACACGCACACTTCTTCAACACAACTAATATTTTTTAAAGTATCTCAATAGTTCACCAGAGATTTTTTGATTGAAGTTATAGATACTTGATAATTGAATAAAGTCTGATAGGCGTATACTATAAGACGATCCAATGTGTTGCGCATATGTATTTTAATTCAAGGATGAATTAAAATTTTGAAACTACACTACATGTATGCTCAAAGATTTATTTATGACAAGGAAGATTGATGACTCAAACAGTATCAAATATTTTAACCAGAAAAGATCTTAACAATGACAACAATCATATTACGATCGAACTTGAAAAGGGATAAATATCATGTCGAGGTAACCATCAAAGAGTTAATCAATATAAATAGGAATGAATAGTATTTTCCAGTCACACTTAAAAAGACATCAGCAAATGATATTTAAATGTTGTCAGAAAATATGAACTGAAATTGTCTTGGTAAATTATGAACAGAAAAGTAAGCTTAAAGTTTTTAACTTGACATATTGAACTCCTACTTTTTAACTTGTTCGGTGTTGAAAAAAAAGCAATAATCAATAATTGAAATGGTAATGAGTGTATGTAGAACAGAGATCGAAACCGAATGGAGATGCTGTCGATCCGACTCGAATCAAACTAAATTGAAAAGCCTTTGTTCAGTTTGTTTCTTAGGATCAGAAACCAATGGAAAAAAAAACGAAAGGATAAAAAAGACACGGTGAAATATATTGTTTCATGTTTTTAATGATCCTAATGAAATTGACTTGAATGAATTATATAGATTGAAAAGAAAAGAATAATAATTTAGAAGTTATAAAAAAGTCCAACTATTAGCTCTAAACTTGTAAGCAAATCACGAAGGCGCGTATATGAAAACTAAAATATTGTTTGAGAAGTTTATCACTCGTTTAATTAGTATTTATTTACAGCTTCATCACAATCAATTCTTATGATAAGATTAGAAGAAAAATATATTTTAATTTTTAACACTAGAGATTTACAAAAAGAAAAACAAGAAAACAGATTTATGATAAGATTGAAATTTCTGAATGCTTTCTATCAATTGTTTTTCTTACATCTGTCCAACTTATTCATTTCAAATAAAACTTTTTATTAAAATAAGCTTTAATCCTTTAAGTTTAAAATATTCTGACTAATTTTCTTATCGATCAGCTTTTGCTCGTACAATTTTGGAAGATGCATTACGCTTATGAAATCCCGATTTTTCAAGTGTCAGTTATTACCCTTGTGCCCGTATTCATTAATATCACATTTTTATGAGTCATTTTATTCCTTACAATCTATTGTAGTTTTTCTTTTTTTAAATACTAAATGAGTTTCCAATATATATGATCAGGTCAAAAATAGAAAAGTAAACAAACTTGCCGACGAAAAAAGAATCCGAACATTGTAGTATATATCATGCGCTAAAACAATAACATCTTTTCTATGGGTTTAAATTGAATAGAGTCGAATCGAATGTAGTCAACGTTACTAGGTTTGATAGTGTTCTTCAAAAGAAACTGGAAAGATTCACAGCAATGCTCAGACTTCCGAAATAGAAAATTTTGAAAGTTTCGGTAATTTGTAGCATTTGTGTTCTGAATTGTTTGGTACTTCCCAAAATTATGCAATTTTCAAAATTTCTGAAATTTCGAAAAAAATGTTCGTTTGCGCTACTGTATAGTTATCGAGTTGAAAGAATCTTCGGGAATTTCTGTAAACTCCTTTTTCGGATATCTAAACATAGATCAAGAGGATGTGAGTGAATGTGAATGCGAATGTGGATCTGAATGATGGAAAAATCCACATCCTACTCTACAGATTGGGAAAACAACATTGAAAAGCGTGTCTAATTTAGTCTATGTGTGATGCTTGTATAACGGACTTATTGCATTTTTCTTTTCATTACCAAAGATGACTCGAATTCGAATATGAGGGAAACTAAACTATTTCTATTCTTATTCTTAGAAGCGCAAAAAGATTGTATGAAGTTGTACAGAACAAAACATCAAAGAAACTAATATTATATTATTTAAAAAATATATAAATATTTCAACTGTTTAAGGGATATTTGCGTAAATTTGGCTCACGAATTTTAAGAACGCTCTGTATTCTAGGATCTTCTTTTTCTATAGATTGAGACATTAGTTTTAATTGTTTCATATTCGAGTATAAATTTATTTTCATCGACTATATAGAATATATTTGAAGATAGAAACCAAATCGTACTTCTGATGATAAAAGTCTGAAATTTAAAAAAAAATCATTTGATAAGATAGCAGTCTGTTTTAAGCTCATTTCGTTAGTCCACGATATCCCAATTCTAAATAAATGTCATTAATTATCAGTCATTTTATCAATTGATTTAAAGTAACACAATCCACCACAAGTAATTTTAATATTAGATAGTCCATTGTTTACATGTTGCTTGTTTAGCTGAATTAAATATAACACCAATTTGAAATAATATTAATTTTTTATATTTTAAAACGAATAAAAAACAATGAAAATCAAAGTTAATTTCATTAATAGAGAAGAAACCATTTGTTTATTTCCATCGGCAACCCGTCGCCCATTAGTATCTGTTAAACCGTAATTGGCTAATATAGTTTTGATTTGTGAAATTGTTTCATCGGTATTGCATAGATTGTGATTACATTCAACATCAAATGATGTATGATATCTTCCATCATAAATATGAACTCTGGGTTCATTATATTGACTGCAGCCACGTGAAATGAACTTATTTTCTTGTAGATTATAATCTAAAGCGCATAGTTCATCCGATGAACATATCACAATTTCTTTTCTCATATTATAACATTGAATTGAACCGTTTCTTAAAGGATTCTCAATAATTGAAGCAATTANATGATTCGGTGGTAGAAGTTTGAGGCGCATTAAGAAACAATTCTGTTCATACATAAGAGAGAGTTCATGTTCGCCTCTCCAGCTTTGAACTTGTGACAAACACTCAAGTATGGTAGTAATGGAGAGATCTTTTGAAGATAGACTGGCTTCTTTAATTATTAAACATCTTTTCAAATAAACAACAGCAAGATCGAACTGAGACTTTCTATGCAAGTTAGCAGCGATCCAGTATAGGCAATCAGTGATTTTAATATGATCATTTGGATAATATTCTTCGAATATGACCAGTGCTTGTTGACAAAAATCGAGAGATTCATTATATTTTGTTTGATCAAACAGAGTAATACCAATGTTATTGAGACAAGTAGCAATTTCAAATTGTTCATTTGGTGAGTGACTTCTGAGAAGTGTCAATGCTTGTTGTTGACAATCGAGAGCATTATCAAATTTTCCTTGGTCTTTTAACGTTTGAGCTATGTTCTGCAGACAAGTAGCAGTATTCGAGTGATTGAATGAATACTTCTTGTAAAATACCAGTGCTCGATAATAAAAATCGAGAGCTTCATCATATTTGTTTTGATTATTTAATAGATTACCAATAGAGTTCAGACAAGTAGCAAGATTTGCATGATCAGATGGATAATATTGTTCATAGATTGCTGTTGCTCTTTGGCAGAAATCGAGAGCTTCATCATATTTCTTCTGCAGACTAAGGGTGACACCGATACATCGTAGACTCTCAGCGATATCAATATGACCAGATGGATAATAGTTTTCGAGGATTGTGAGAGCTTGTTGATAACAGTTTAGTGCTAGATTGTATTCTGTTTGATCTATTCTAATATGACCAATGCGATTCAAGCTATCCGCAATTTTCTCATGACAATACGAATACTTTTCTTCTTGAATCTTCAATGCTCTCTGTTGAAACTCAATGGCTTCTACGTACTTCCCTTGTTTTCTCAGGACATCTGCAATATTGATAAGACCATTAACAATATCAACAAGACTCGATGGACAACATTTTTCGTAGATTCTCAACGCTCTTTGATAGAAGTCGAGAGCTTCATCATATTTTCTTTGTAGAGTGACAATATTAGCGATGTTGCTCAAACTATAAGCAATATTCACGTGATCAGGAGGATAATGATGTTCTCGTATCATCAATGCTCGATGTTGGAACTCGATAGCTTTATTGTAATTTTGTTGATCTCTTAGAACATTGGCGATGTCTTTCAGATTATCAACAATGGCAACATGATTAGTTGAATCAAAGTTTTCTCGAACTGTCAGTGCTCGTTGATAGAAATCAAGAGCTTCATCATACTGTCTTTGCCCATACAGAGTATCTCCAATATTGCCAAGGACGAGAGCGATGCCAGTATAATCAAATGGATGGAATTTCTCTCGAATAGTTAATGATCGTCGATAGAAATTGATAGCTTCATCATATTTCTCTTGGGAATATAGGGCATTACCAATTGAGTTCAGGCTCTTCGCGATGTCCATATGAGCAAATTCATAATGTTTTTCTTGAATAGCCAGAGCTTTTTGATAAAGTTGAAGAGCTTCATCATACTTCTCTTGTTTATATAGAGTGTTACCAATGAAGTTGAAAGTATGAGAAGTTTCGATGTGATCATCAGGATAGAAATTCTCTTGTATCGAAAGTGCCTGCCGATAATTTTCAATTGCTGCATCATATTTTCTTTCATCATACAGAACATGACCAATACCATTGATAGTATTAGCCATGGTGACACTGCCTGATGGATAAAATTTCTCTTGAATTTCTAATGCTTTTTGATGATATTCAATGGCTTTATCGAATTTATCTTGTTGACGAAATGTTGTGCCAATATTAATAAGGGTTATCGCAATGTCAACATGACCATTTAGATAAAATTTCGCTTGAATTTCTAATGCTTTTTGATAATATTCAATCGCTTTATCAAATCTTTTTTGCTGACGAAATGTTGTGCCAATATTACTAAGGGTTGTCGCAATGTCTGCATGACCAGTTGGATAATATTTCTCTTGCATGTTAAGTGCACGTTCATAAAACTTCAAGGTTTCATCGTACTTTTTCTGTGCAATGAGAACATTACCGATGTAATTGAGAGTGTTAGCGATATTACGCTGACAAGATGAACAATATTTTTCTTGCATTTCAAGTGCTCTTCGATGATAATCAAGAGCTTCATTGTAGTTTTCTTGTTTGCATAATGTAATTCCGATATTGTTCATATAAAAAGCAATGAAAGAATGGCTAGATGGACTGTGTTTTTCAGAAATTGCTAGTGCTTGTCGAAGAAAATCAATAGCTTCACTATACTTTCCTTGCTCACATAAAACATTACCAATGTTATTCAGACTCGAGGCTATTGAGGCATTACCTAAAGGATAATAGCTCTCTTGCATTGTTAGTGCTCGTTGACAAAAGCATAGAGCTTCATTATATTTTGCTTGACAAAATAGTACACAAAATATGTGATTGAGAGTGTTAGCGATGTTTGCATAATAAGATGGATAATATTTCTCTTGAAGTGCTAGTGCTCGTCGATGAAAATCAAGAGCTTCATCATATTTTCCTTGTTCCTTTTCTGTATAGCCAATGTTGTTTAGAGTACAAATTATATCATCATGACCAGGAAAATAATATTTCTGTGATATTTTCAGCATTTGTTCATAAAATATCACAGCTTTATCATACTTTCCTTGTCCACAGTGAACATTTCCTATTCCACAAAGAGTATAAGCTATATCGACATGTCCAGATGGATAAAACTTTTGTTGTATTGTCAATGCTCGTTCATGAATATTTAGAGCTTCATCATGTCTGCCATCGAGACAGAGAATGTAACCGATATGATTGAGGGCGGAGGCGATGTATACATGATCATTTGAATAATATCTTGTATAAATTGACATCGCTCGTTGACAGAAATCGAAGGCTTCATCGTATCTTGCTTGATATGTAAGAACTTGACCAATATGCATAAGTGTAATAGCGATATTGATATGAGAAGATTGATAATATTTTTCAAGTAAAGTCAATGCTTGTTTATGAAACATCAGTGCTTCATCATATTTAGCTTGTCGAAAGAGGATTTTGCCGAAGCTACGTAGAATGATAGCAATGAACACATGGTCGTTCAGCGTAGCAATGTTCAATTGTAACCAATCGGTTTCTTGTAATTTTCGACACATTTCTTGTAACAGAGTTTTGTCTGAGTGTTCTTCAACAAGCTCCGTTCTGTTTGTCACATATTTCGAGCGAAACCAACGACAAATTCCTAGAAAATATCTAGTCCAAAACAAGCTGTAATATGCATGAAAGAATCTGCCTGAATTCAATAAAACAGACCAGAACGATGCAGAAACAAAACTTAATAAACTGTTGTATTGGCGATTCGGTGAATTAAGCCTATCAACTTTGACAGAGAAATAATATTTCTTTCTCATTGCAAATGCTCGTTCATAATAATCACGAGCTTCTTCATACTTTCCTTCGAGATATAGAATTTCACCAATATTGAAAAGTATATCAGCTAAATTCTTGATGTTTGTTGATTTTACATTGATTATTCTATCATAAGCACTAAAATAATATTTTCGTGCTTCATTCCATTCACCTTTCCATTGAAGAACCTCACCAAGACTACATTCAATCTTTGCGAGATCTTCATTGTTGTTATTCGAGTCGTTCAATAATTGTTGAAAAAAGTATTGCGATTGATTCCATTGACCCATATCACACATTAATCGTCCAAAGAGAATTCTTATGCTTAGATTTTCCATTTGACGATGTGTGTCTTTGATATATTTTTCTTTGATAAGTTGACCTTCATTTGATGCACTCAGTTCAATGAAATACATGTCTTCTTCCATTTTCACACTTTCCAATAGAAAAGTAACATTTGAATCGAACATGATTTCTTGTTGTTTTTCAGATGAAATTTCATTGAATTGAACAATGTCAGCAAGAATGATACTATTGCCCAGGTATTGTAGATCGCATTGGATTTCTATGAGAACAGAAATTAAACCAATTTGTTTCGAAGATTTTATCGCTTGGCTCAATGCAATTGAACGAAGAGTAGTTGTTGTCAAAAATCCATTGATTGAAACCAGTTTACCTTCGTTTTCTTTCAATTTTTCGATTTGATCTCTTGTTAATTTTATTCCTCGATACATAAATAATATTTCTTTACTCGATTGAAACATCTTTTGATGTTCTCGATCAAGATTTTCTATTAGATCTTTCATAAAATATCGAAATGTGAAGAGTTGATTGAAGTCTTTTGTTCTCAACGCTTTTTTGATGATCTTGTAAATAAATGATTTTTTCAGATACCATCGAAGAGCTTCTTCTGATCGATATTCATTTTCAAACTTCGTAATTGTTTCGATTTCTTTGAGATTGTCTCGATAATAGAAACAACATTCATCAATCATTTCTTGTTTAGCTTCTTCATTATGTGTTAATTTAAATAAAACATCATGATAAAGTTGAAACCAAAGAAGATCATCAGTTTGTTTTGATAGATCTTTTGTCAAATGTTCATTTTGATCGAAGAAACTGAATGTTTGTAAGTTTCGATCGAGAAAATCGATTTGTTCTTGAATTGATAAACACAATAGATCGAATTCATCATAGATGCCTATTAGTTTTGATTGTTCCAGAATTAAATGTTCAGGATCGACTTTCTCCCAGTTGAATATAAAAATGCTGTCAATTTGAGGTAGACTTACAATATGAGATAATATTTTTGATGCATCATAAATGGAAGAGATGAAAATAATTTTTTCATTATATATCGATTGAATAAAACTAATACAAGATTCGAATTGAGTGTGAAATACAAAATAATCATTGATTTGACAGAGTAGTTTCTTTATTCGTTCCACATGATTATTGGAATTCATCTTCGAATCGAACCAAATTA